ACCTGGCGAAGGATCTGGAAAAATACAAAGGAAGATGTTGGGGAAGATCTGGGGGAAGATTTGAAGGAACATCAGTTGAAAAAGATCTGTAACAATAGATGTTGGGAAAATACACGGGAACGGATCTGGAGAAGATTTAGGGGAAACTCTGGGGGAAGATCTGGAGAAAGATATGGTGGAGGACCCGGAGGAGAGATCTTGGGAAAATCTGGGCGAAGATCTGGGTGAAGATCTGGGTGAAGATCTGGGGGGACATCTGGGAAAGATCCGGAGGAAGATCTGGAGGAAGATCTGGAGACACATCTGGAGGAGAGATCTCGAGGAATATCTGGGTGAAGATCTTGGTGAAGATCTGGAGGAGGATCTGGATGAAGATCTGGGGAAGAACTCGGAAGATCTAGAGGAATATCTGGAATACTATCTGACAAAGATCTAGGAAGATCTGGGGAAGATCTGGGAGAAGATCTGGAAGAATATCAGGAGGACATCTAGGAAGGTCCGGGAAAGATCTGGGAGAAGAGCTTGGGAACATCTGGAGAAAGATCAGGGGGAAAATCCGGGGAAGATCTAGGAAGATCTGGGAAATCTCTGGAGGAAGATCGGGGGGGAGATCTAGGGGGAGGTCAGGAGGAAAGTCTCGAGGAAGATCTGGGAGAATATCCAGAAGATCCGGAGGAAGATCACGAAGAAGACGCCAGCGTTAAGAAACTGGGCCAGCTTTTGGGAATTCGTTACCGAAATTTAAAAGAAATGTTGACACTCAACTTGGCAGGAGGGACTTTTATGCTAAGAAATCTTCCAGTAAGACATAGAGCGCCAGCTTCGCTAAATGTCTTAGCTCTCTTGCGAGAGCCAGCTTTGAAGCGTGCAATTTCTCAGCGCAGCGCGGCGCCAGTGTTGGTGGTTTTGATAAACCTTGTGCTGGCGATGATGCCGATTGCGGGGCGGGGGGCTCTGCAGCAATGAAACAACAACTGCAGGAACATGAGGAGAAACATGTGGCGGGGGATCTGGACGAATACCAGCGGGAAATCTGAAGGAAGATATGGAGAAAGATCTGGGGAATATCTATAGTAGAGGAGAGATCTCGAGGAAGACCCCGGTGAAGTTCTGGGTGGAAATCTGGACGAAGATTTGGGGAAGATCAGCGGGAAAATCTGGAGCAAGATCTGGAGAAACATCTGGTGGAAGATCTGGGGGATATCTAGAGGAGAGATCTCGAGGAAGACCCGGGTGGAGATCTGGGTGAGGATCTGGGTGGAGATCTAGGGGAAGATCTGGGTGAAGATCTGAGGTAATGTCTGGAAGAAGATCTGGAGGAAGATCTGGACAAAGATCTAGAGGAGAGATCTCGGGGAAGGTCTGGGTGGATATCTGGGGTGGGGGGATCTGGAGAAGATCTGGGGGGAACTCTGTTGGAAGATCAGGAGAACAATCTGAGGGAAGATCTGGAGGAGAGATTTCGGAGAAGATTTGGGTGAAGATCTGGGGGAAGATCTGGAGGAAGATCTGGAGAAGATTTTAGGGAAGATCTGGGGGCAATCTGGAGAAACATCTGGTGGAGGATCTGGAGGAGAGATCTCGGGAAACATCTGGGCGAAGATCTGGGTGAAGATCTGGGGGGAGATCTGGACGAAGATCTGGGGACAGATCCGGGAGATCTGGAGGACAGGTCTGGGGGAAGATCTGGAGAAGCGATCTCGGGGAAAGTGTGGGTGAAGATCTGGGGGAAGATCTGGAGGAATATCTGGAGAAAGATCTGGGGGAATATCTGGCGGAGAGATCTCGGTGAAGATTTGGGTGGAGATCTGGGAAAACATCGTGTGAAGATCTGGAGGAGAGATCTTGGGAAAGATCTGGGCGAAGATCTGGTGGAAGATCTGGGGGAAGATCTGGACGAAGATATGGAGGAAGATCTGGAGGAATATCTGGAGGAGCGATCCGGGGGAATATCTGGAGGAGAGATCTCGGGGAAAGTCTGGGTGAAGATCTGAGGGAAGATCTGGGGAAAGATCTGGGGCAAGATCTGGAGGAAGATCTGGGTGAAGATCTGGGGGAAGATCTAGGAAGATCTGGGGCAGATCTGGGAGAAGATCTGGAGGAAGATCTGGGTGAAAATCTGGGTGGAGATCCGGGAAAGATCTGGAGGAAGATCTGGAGAAGATCTGGAAGAAGATCTGGCTGAATATCCGGGGAAGATCTAGGAAGATCTGGGGAATCTCTGGAGGAAGATCAGGGAGGAGATCTAGGGGGAGATCAAGAGGAAGGTCTCGAGGAAGATCTGGGAGAATATTCGGAAGATCCGGAGGAATATCACGAAGAAGATGCCAGCGTTAAGAAACTGGGCCAGCTTTTGGGAATTCGTTGCCGAAGTTTAGGATCATTTTGAGACCCAGCTGGGCGGGAGGGAGTTTCTTAACAGAAGATATCAGCGTAAATGGGTGGGGGGGTGAAGAAAAGGGCCCTCAAGGGACACTTTAGGGCCCCTTCTGGAGCCAGCAGGGGCCAACGAGGGGCCCTAAAGGGCTCCTTTAGGGCCCTCTTCTTCACCCCACATTTGGGTCCCCCCCCCCTTGCCACCCCTCCCCCCCCCCCCTGGGCGGCCTCGCACGGTGCGGGTTCTCCGCCTCCGAGGGGTCGAAATCCTGTGGGTGCAGCTCTGCCCCAGCGGGCCCCGCTGGGGGGGGGGCGGGCGGGGGCCCTCGCTCGGGTCGGACGAGACGGGGGGGGGATCTTCTTCCTCCTCGACATGCTCCTGATCCTCGTCCTCCTTCTCCTCCTCCTCCTCCTCCTCCTCCTCCTCCTCCTCCTGCTCCTTCTTCCCCTCCTCGCTCTCCCCGTCCCCCCTCTTCTCCCCGCCGTTCTGTCTCAAGCCAACGGGATTGCGACTGGACAAGAGGAGGAGGGAGATGGGGAGGGTCGGGATGTCAGATGCGGCGCGGGCGCATCTGGCTTGTCTCCTGTTCCTCTCGGGTCGGGCGAAGAGGGCAGGGATCGGGAAAGAGCGGGGGCGCGACATCGGCTGCTTGCCGCCGGCTTCGGGCCCGCCGCCGGGCGCTCTCCTCGCTGTGCGGGGCCCGCCTCTGGCAGACCGGCTGCGAGAGCCGATGCCCCCCCCCCCACTCTCGTCCGACCCGGCTCACGTCTCGGGCGCGGCCTCACCGAGCCCTGGCAGACCATCCCCTTCCGTGACGTCACACCCTAAGACGAAACCAGGACGAGGATAACATCGGGTGAGGATAAATCGAGAATCTCTGAAACCCCGCGGCTCTGGAGGATGTCTCGGGCGCCGCGGCCTTATCAGAGCGTTCTGGAGCGCTCTCAGAGCGTGCCGGACTGTTATGGAACAAATTTATCATTGTCCTGGCCCCGCCCGACCCTCGCCTTTCAAACTTCCCTCCGGCCGCACACATGCGTCTTGGGGCGAGGCAAGGGGGGCGTCACGGAAGGGGGTAGTTTTCCAAGGGTCGGTTTGGCCTTCCCTGAACGACCTCCCGCTCCTTCTTCCCCAGCAGGTGGCGCGACCTTCTCGCCATCGTTCGGACGTCCATTCCCCGTGCATTTTTCGACGTCGTGCGACGATTTTTTCGCAAGATGATCCAGGATGTTCCTGGATAGTCCTCGCCCCCCCCCAAACAGGCACACGTCCGAGCGATGCCAAGCCTAAGCAGGGCCCCGTAAACGGGGACCCTGGTGAAACCCAGGTGGACTGCCCGAACAACCTGCAGCCGCGGGTCGAGTCGTTCTCCAATGGCGAGGCCTCGGGCTGCGTTCAGACAGCCCCCCCAGGTAGTGCCGGCTGGCCTCAACACGCCCTAAGACGAAGCCAGGACTTGGATACCATCGGGTGAGCATGCATCGAGAACTCTGAGAACTGGCGGCTCTGGAGGATGTCTCGGGCGCCGCGGCCTTCTCAGAGCGCTCCTGAACGCTCTGAGAACGTTCCAGGACGCCCTGGAACGGACTCGTCCTCGAGCCCCGTCCGACGCCCCCCGAATAGTCCGGGGCGGTCTCAGCACCGCAACCCTCGGGTGCGGAGCGCCCCAAGGGGCGCCGCTGGAAGCGGCGCTATGGTGTTGAGACCGCCCACCGGGGCTACTCGGGGGGCCTGCTGAGGCCAGCCGGGACTGCCTGGGGGGGCTGTCTGTGCGCAGCCCGAAGCCTCACCAATGGCGGATCGAGAGTCTCTTTCTCCGTCCCTCCTTTCCTCCCGCTGGATCTGGCAACGTCTTGGTTTGCAGTGTCCTGTTTTTCCATAGCCCCGGTCTTCGGCGGAACCCCTGAGGCTGGAGGGTCTCGCGGACCAGTCAGAAATACTTTGCAAACGTATCCGCCACCATGCCGCGAGTGATCGAGACTAGTGCCCTCAAGTCCTTTCGAATTCTCTGTATTGAGTCTTGTGAATGCTCTTTTTGGTCACGGGCCCACGGGCTCTGGAACTTACCAGGCGCTTCTGCGCGCTTCCGTGGCTGGTCGCGTGCCTTATCTGGAGGCCTCAGCAGCGCGGGCCTCCCAAGACAACTTGCCCGCAAGCTAGGAACGGTGGGGCGGATTGGGCCGAAGGCAGGAAAGCGCGGAACTTGTAGTCACCACGAATGTATCATCATCATCATCATCATCATCATCATCATCATCATCATCATCATCATCATCATCATCATCACCATCATCATCATCATCATCATCATCATCACCATCACCATCACCATCACCATCATCATCATCATCATCTTCATCATCATCATCACCATCACCATCACCATCACCATCACCATCATCATCATCATCATCATCATCATCATCATCATCATCATCATCATTCGTATCATCATCATCATCATCATCATTACCATCATCCTCATCATCATCAGTATCATCATCATCACCATCATCACCACCACCATTATCATCACCATCATCATCAACATCATCATCATACTTTACGAACAAGCACGACACAACACACATACTGCACATGCAGAGAACATATGGCTTACTTTTTGGCAAGGATCGCTCGGACATAGAACGCTTGCCTGCGAACGGGATGCCATCCCCAATGAGAATCTTCCGCTTGAGCGATCCATGCGCAGGCAGGCCGTCTGAACCAGGCCTCCATGCGACTCGAGAAGAGAGGTCGCCGTGGAGGCCGAAAATGGCGTGGGTGCGCACATGGCGCCATGTGCCGTGGGTGCGCACATGGCGCAGGGTGTCAGTGCTGAAGCACGTGGAGTGAAGTGTGGAGGGCCGAGGCGGGGAGCAAGGGGAACGAGTCAGCATAACGTAAACACTGAACAACCTAATGGGTATCGAAGCGTGCAGCACGCCCTTACATTCTGGGCGCGGCGCAAAGGTGTCTGGGCAATAAATACTCACTACACACATACATACATGCGTACATACATACATACATACATACATACATACAGACAGACAGACTGACAGACAGACAGACAGACAGACATACATATGTATATATACACATACAAATATACATATACACATGCACATGCATACATACATACATGCATGCATGTATGCATGCAAACCTACATAAACATACATTCATGCATACATACATGCATACCTTCATGCATGCAGACAGACAGACCGACAGACAGACACAAATACATATATATATATATATACATATCTACATATAAACACCCATGTGTGTATGTAAATATATACACACCTATATATACACAAATGGCAAATGCACGCACGCCCCGCAAAGTTCAGTGGCACCCGTTATTAATCCTCTGGCGATAGCGGACGTGACCAGGAGGGGAGGGGGAGGGAGCGGACTAATCACGTCATGATTCGCGCACACGCCGTCTGGGAATGCGTAAGAAAGGCTGACGCCCAGACGGCGCCCGCTACGTGACCGGTGGGGGGAGGGGAGGGGGCCGGGCCGGTCACGGGCGCAATCGCGAAGCTTCATTGAACACACAAACTTTTGTGTGCAGAAGACCATAATAATGTGTGGGTAGCCCAAGAAATTTCCGATGCGCTCTCGGTAGCTCTCGTGGAAATCTCTTCGTGGAACTCGAACCGAAACCCAACAACCTGAGGATAGTACTCGAGTCGGAGATTGACTACAGAGTTGATTCACCCCCCAAAATCGATGTTCCGTCGGATCTGCGGAGGATGCGTAAAGTGTCTCGTGCATCCAATGTTGAACATCCGACGTACTTGTCGCGGATTCCGAGACGCAGCGATTCTGTAGTCGATCTCCCACTCGACTGAGATCACGTCGCCATGTGCTCCGCCCTGGCGCTGCCGCGCCTCCCCGCCCGAGCTCCGAATCCCCGTGGCCTTCGCCAGGCACGTGGCCGCGGTCGGCCGCTCCCGGTGAGGATGCACCGGGAGTCGTGGCCGATCCATGCGGCAGGGCGCGCGCTCGCCTGCCCGAGGTCGTCGCAGACTTCGAGTGCAGGGCAGTTTTCAATAATGGGATTTTTAAACATATAGGATTTCTAAATGCATGAGTAGTTTATGAATCGATTTATGCATGAGCTCATCGTTGTTTTTAATGCTGAATCCCTGCATTTTTAAAGCATGATCCGCACGCGGAACATGTATAAAAAAACGGCACTTTAGGGGGCCGACCGCAGAAGTGACGCACCCCAGAACTAGTTGGTTCCCCGAGTCCACTGGAGGGTTACGCCTAATGTTTGTAGCTCTACGAACACGATGCGTTTTTTCCGTTTGTAATTTCGAAGAACACCATTTCTGGGTCAGAACAACTCTGTAGTCGATCCCCACTCGAAGACTGGGGTTGGTTTGTACGGGGTGGCGAACCGCCGTTGGGTATACGACATTGAAAAAAAAGGGCGGTGGGTTATTCCAGGGAGCGAGCGGTCGATGTTGATGATTCAAGGGGCGAGTAGGCCCAAGACGGCCAGAGGCAAACCAAACACAGATTGTCCACTGGCGGACCGCACTTTCTTAACTCACGGGAACGAGCGACCGCGGCTGATTACTCCCGGGAATGACCAGTCGCGGCAATTCATTCTTGGGGCAGATCACTCTCTAGGGAGGGGGAGACATGGGTGAACCAAATAATACAGGATTGCCGACAGGACTTGGTGAACTCACGGGAGTGGCCAATCGCTGATGGTTCTGCCCAATTGTTCAACTGAGGGTCTACATGTATCTGGTGTCCACCCTTCTTAACGTCTAGTAAGTTCCGCTCCTAGTTAACGCGCGGCACCCCAGGAGGACAGCCGAGGCGTGTCCACTGGGCGTGGGCACATTGAAAAACAAACTGCTTACACATATTTGTTCGGAGCTCCGCGCTGTTTTCCTGGATCGGCGGTGGACCCTCCTTTCTGGCGAGCGGACCGTACCAGGGGCAGCGCCGGAGGCGCCGCCAAAGGTTTCGATAGTTTATGCTCACACTATTTTTGCCAGGTTGAAAAATCCGCGCGGGTCTCCGACAATTTATGTTTATGCTGTTCTTTCTCTTCCTCGAATGAATGTGCTGAAGAAAGCGGAGACGGAAGAGCAAGACAATTAGGCGAAACTTCCGTCGACATGTGCATCCTTGCATATATATATATACATGGATGTGTAGCTGTATATAGATATGTGCGCATATACATATTCACACATATCTACATACACATCGATTTATGACTATACGTATAGGCGTAACTGTATACAGTACGCACACACGTGTATATATGTATATATAACGGTGCCCGTATAGTAGCATACGAAGCAATCACTACGAAGCAACCGCGTCCAGATAGATTGATCGCGGCGCCAGCGTGCCGTCACCCCGCCCTCGGAGGGCTCCACGACGTCACGAGCGAGCACGCCGAGGTGGCTGGTCGTCGAGCACGGGCAGGAGCTTTTGCTGCGCGTGTCGCTGCGGCGGCCCTGGCACACACCATGGCTTGCAGGCGGGCGGCGCGTCGCTCCGCTCCTCGAGGCGGGATGCTCGGGAGAAGCTCGGGACGTGGATGACTGTGGACTGGGACGTGGACAGCGTGTCGCGCCGACGCGTGGTGGGCCAGAGCCCGCGCCGCGACACGCTGAACAGAGGCGCGCTCGGCCGCACCTCGAAACATCAGCTCCTGTGCATCCTCTGCAGCCTCTCCAACTCCGAGGCCGCCGTCGTGCTCATGCTGTCGATCCACTCGAGCACCTCCTCCTCGTGGCTCGGCCTGGCCGCCCCGGGCAGCGCGGGACGCTGCACCCTCGCCAGGGCCGCCTGCCACGCGCGCAGGGCCCCCTCCACCTCCTGCAGGCCTGCATCGCCCCGCGCCTCGCCGCCCCCGGCAGGCAGCAGGCACTCCGAGGGGGTGCCCTGGGCCTGCGTGCCGGGGCCCAGCACGCACTCCTCGGGAGCCAGGGCCGCGGAAGGCCGCCGCGACAGGCCGCCGTGCCTGGGGATGCTGCTCCTTCGGGGGAGCGTCGGCCTCACATCGTCCGACCGGGATGGGCCCTGAGAGGGGATCGCTGCAGGCCCAGCGAACAAGGGGGGGGTGCTCGCCCGACCAAGATGGGATGCTGCTCCCAAGTTAAGGGGGAACGTCGCAGGCCCAGCGAACGAGGAGGGTCGGGCGGGCCCAACGAACGAGGAGGGTCGAACGTGCCTGGGGGTGGGACCGGCTGAGGGGGGGGGGACATCGACCTTAGATCGGCGACACATCGCCGATAGATCGGCGATAGGCCCTCGGTAGCGAATTCGCGATGTACTGGGCGGGTTGGGCCATCGGGTCCCTATCGGCGATCAATTAATGATTGAGGGTCGATGCGACTCCCCTCTCAGTCTATCCCCTCCTAACGTTGCCCCTGAGCTCCTGCGTCTGGAGACATTGAGCCTCACCTTCAAACTCTCGATCTCGCTCACCAGGTCGTGCTTCAGCTCCCGGAGGTCCTTCAAGGACGCCGCGTTGGAGCCGCGCAGGTCCAGCACGATCTTCACGAAGTCAGTGAAACTGATCTCCTTCGGTGGCCTCGACGCTCCCTCGTCGTCGTCGTCGTCCTCGTCCTCTTCGTCCTCCGGGTCGAAGATGCTCGGCGCCATGTCGATGAGCCCTATGGCGTCCACGCCGACCTCGCCCAGGAGCGTGGCGACCTTTGGGTTGCCAACGAGCTGCACGAACTCCTCCTCGGAGAGTGTGCCATTGCCGTTCGTGTCCAGCCTGTGCATCACCTCCGCGAGCTTCGACTTGAGGGCGTACACATCCATCTCCTCTTGGATAAGAAAACAACTACATACACACAAACTTTCGGAGCTCCGAAAGTTTGTGTTAATGTAACTTTTTCTTCTTCAATCCTCCTTCTCCGTGGAGGCCACCGCGCTCACGACCTCGCAGAGCACGCCGATAAGCACCCGCCGCCGCGCCTTCGGCACGCGGGGGCGTCTGAGAACGCCCTGTTCCTGTCGGGACCTCTGTCGCTCTTCACTGGCGACGGCCTTGATCAGAACAGCCACCCCCTCCTCCCCTCCGACTGGTCTCAGAAGGGCCACGATCCTCAAGCGCCTGGGAATTGTCGAGGGTGTTTGCTCCCCCGTGCCTCCCCCTAGAGTACCTCCACGAAGGTCTCAGAGGGGTTCGGGGTGGCCCTGGATGTCTGCAATCAACCTCCAAGCTCGGAGTGGGCCCCAAGACGGCCTGAGAACCTCCCCAAGACGGCCCAAGACCGCCCAAAGAAGGCTCCGGGACAGCCCAGCGACCCGACCGAGCAGCACCCAGATGGTCCAGCCGAGTCGATTCGGGAGGCCTCGGCGGAAACACTGCGTCAGAGATGGCCCTAGCATAGCAACCGAGCCGGATCAATCGAGCTTCGGGGATCTGCTGACCAGGGTCAATCCCAAACTGGGTCACTCAGGTGTTGCAGGATCCTGCAAGATCCTGCAGGATCCTGCACCCAGGCCCAACCCTGGCTCTGCAGGATCCGGTGCTGCACCCCTCTTTGGTGGGCGGAGCGCACTGGGGGCGACGCTGGAGGCGCCTCAAGGGGGGGGGCTCAGCGCCGACCCAGGAAATCCGCGCGGAGTTCCGACAAAGTATGCTGATGTTTTTTTTTTCGAGCCACGGTAAGTGGGGCTTGCCGCAGGCAGCTGGATGTTCATCACCATGAGGGCTGCGCACACGACGAAGATGAAGAAGACGACCGCGACCACTGGGCTGCTCTCGGCGATGGTGTCCGCGGTGTGCCCCAGGTTGTCAAGGAAGACGCCCTCGACGAGGAGTTTGTACATGGACGCAGGGACGCTATAGCTGGAAGACGAAACAACTACATCAGAGTGATGGGGCCGAATGGTTATTCATTGTTCCGGGGTGCATGGCAGAATTGGCGTGCCGTCTGGCGGATCCAAAGGGAATTTTCATTTCTGAATAATTGTTGTTAATCCCCCCTCCAATAACATATAGGTTTTTCAACTGAAGTGCCCCTCCCGGGGCTCGCGCCCTAATTTTATCAAAGGAATGTCCTTCGCGCCAGACTGGGCCCCTGACTGTCGGCTTACAACAACAACGGCTCCCGCCTGATACCTGCACAACTTATGTAGAGATCTGGCTTTCGCTGAGGACTTTGCTGCAATTTGCCCAGGGATCGCGCTCTCGCGTAGGACTTCCTCGCAGTGTGCTGAAACCGCGCGTCCTCGACACTCAGGAATCACGTTCTCGTCCAGGACTTCCTTACGACCTACCTGGGAATCGCACTGTCGCTCGAGACTTCCTCGCGGTGCATGCGGGACTCACGCTTCAACTGCTCGCCAGCCCGACCCGCCCGTCTGGGTCTGGCGGCCCGATCGCCAGTTAGGGCCCGCCCGTCCGACCTGCCCCTCTGGCTCTGCCCCTTGCCTTCCTGCTCCTGGCAACCCCTCCTGCTGATCTCTCTCGTGGTCCATTCTCCTTCCTCCTCCTTGCCCCTTCCCTCCCTCCTTCCTTCCGCTCGGCTTGACGCGGCCCGCAATGTCGGGACCGCGCGCCCGGCCGGGCCGCCCGGCGCGGGCACCTACCCGCAGGCGGGCCCCCTAGCGCCCGGCCTGCGTACCCTCCCCGCGGCCGAGGGTCTGGAGGGTGACGCCCGACGCGTTGCGGGAGGCGCCCGCCTCCATTCCCCCGGGGAGGGGTCCACCCGGCGGCCCCTCCAGCACTCCTCCCTCCCTCCCTCCCTTCCCGCGCTCCTCTCCTCCTCGCCCGCTCTTGCTTCCCGTCTCCCCTCTTCTTCCCGCTCGAAGGGCCGCGCCAGCTCCACGTGGCGGGTAGGGAAGATATACCCCCAATGGGGATACGATCGAAGACGAAGAGGGAGGGTATCGAGGGCTTGGGATCTTCATCCTGACTCTTGAGTTCTCATGTCGAATGAACAAATATGGATGACCCCCCTCCAGCCACACATGTGTTCTTCAATTGAAGTGCCGACTACACGTGGCGGGTAGGGAAGATATATAACCCCAATGGGGATACGATCGAAGACGAAGAGGGAGGGTATCGAGGGCTTGGGATCTTCATCTTGACTTTGAGCTCTCGTTTCGAATGAATAACTATGGGCGGCCCCCCTCCAGCCACACATGTGTTCTTCAATAGAAGTGCCCCTTCCCAGGGCTCGCGCCCCGTTCTTCTACAAGGAGACATCTTGGGCCTCCGATTGTGTTGTTGGCTCCTGATTTGCAACAGCAGCAACGACGGCTCCTGCCTGACACTTCATCAAAATCTATGGGGGCATCGGGCTTTCGTTAGATACTTCTTTGTACTCTGTACAGACATCGCGCTCTCGCCTGCGAGTTCCTCACAGTGTATTCAAAACTCGCTCTTTCGGCGCTGTGGAATCGCGCTTTCGCTCGGGACCCTGTCATGCTTTGCTCAGGAGCCGCGCTCTCGCCTGAGGCGTCCTTGCCATCACCTCCTGCCAAGCCTTCTTGCTGATACCTCTCGTCCTCCATCTCTCTTTCCTTTTTGCCCCCCTTTCCTCCTCCCTCCCTTCCCCCACTCCCTTCCTTCTCGTTCTCTCCCTTTTGAATTATGTATGTTCTTCCTGTTTTCGGGGGTGCGCCAATCACACGTGGCAGGGAAAGACGACATCACCCCAAAGGAGGTATGATCAAAAACGAAGGGCCAGGTATCGAGGGTTTGAGAGATACATGTTGGGTGACACGCGAGCGTGTGAGCGCGAACAATCTTAATTAATTGCTGCTGTTGTTGCTGCTGCTGTTGCTGTTGATGATGTTGTTTATGATGATGCTGTGGTTGTTGTGATTGCTGTGGTTGTTGTTATTGTGTTCGTGTTGTTGTTCTGGTTGTTGACTCCTCACTTCTAGGAACTAAATATTGTGGACCCTCCCTGCCCGGTGACCACTGTGTTTTCCAATTGCAGTGCCCCTCCTGGGGCTCGCATCTTTTATTCAAACGGGAATTGTGGGGTTACCAAAGTGGCTTGCTCCCCAACTGCAACAACAATAACGGCTCCCGCCTGATACTTCCGCACAATGTATTGAACAATCGCGCTCTCGCGCGTGACTTCCAAACAAAGATGCCGTAATCGCGCTCTCGCGTGAGACTTCCTTGCAATTTATTCAAACGCCGCGCCCTCGACGCTCAATAATCGCGCTCTCTCTCTCTCTGGTTTTTCTCGCGATTCATTTGGCATCTCGCGATTCATGCAGTACTACGCTTCAGCAACCCGCCTGCTCGACCTGGCCGCTTGGGCCCGCCTTCCCGACCCGCCCGTTCGGGTCTACCCGCCCGATCAACCCGTCTGGTTCCGCCAAGTGTTTTCTGCTCCTAACCCCCTCCTGCTAATCCCGTGCTCCATCCTTCTCCCTCCCCCTTCAGTCCGTCCTCTCTGCCCCAGTTTTAGGGGCATCGCTAAAATACATGTGGCAGGCAAGGAAGAGATGCCCTCAAGTGGGTTACGATCGAAAACGAGGAGGGCGGGTACCGAGGGTCTGGCATATACGTGCTGAGTGGCACGCGGGCAAATAAGAACGAACAATATTGAAATTCTTGTTGTTGTTGTTGCTTCGTTGTCGTCGTCCTCGCCCGCGACTGGCCCACGACCCACCCGTGACCCGCCCCGCGACCCGCCCCGCGACCCGCCCCGCGACTCACCAACGGCCCACCCGCGATGCACCCACGACCAACCCCGAGCCCGCGCCCCTCACTCTTATCCGCAATTGCGGGGTGCGACGTGCACATAAACATTCGGAGCTCCGCAAAGATTTCTTGGATCGGCGCTGGACGCCCCCCTGGCCGCGCCTATAGCGCATCCCCTGGCGCGCTCCGTCCACCGCCGATCCAAGAAATCCGCGCGGACCTTCGGAAATTTATGCTGATGCAGTTTTCCTTCTCCAGATAGAAGTACATGTCGCCGACAGGTGTGCCCTCCGTGAGCTGCCTCAACATGATGGCGAACAAATACAAAAGGATTACCATCAAGCAGATGGTGAAGAAGACGGAGCGGGAGGCGGCGAACATCCCCTTGATCAAGATCATCAGCTCGGGCATCGACCGCAACATCCTCGCCAAACGGGAAAGCCGCAACAAACGGAACAACCGCAAGATCGAGGCGCCGCCCACGCCGGAGCCGCGGCCAGCGTCGAGGCACAGCAGTGCGATGCTCATCGCCCACGTCTCGGCAACCATCATGAAAACCAGGCAGGAATCGAAGACGAACCATCTATCCTTCAGCCCATGTCGCTTCTTCTTAAACGCACTGAAGCGGACGTACCACTCAAAGGAGAAGTACCAGCAGAAGAAATGATCTGCGATCTGAAATATAGGCTGTGCATCTAGAAGGGTTGATGTGGGGTTGTTGTCAGTGTCTATTGCAATCCACAATGCGTTGATGCAGATCACCACGAGCGTCAGATTCTCGAAGAAGGGATGCTTGGCGATTACCCTCCAAATGCCTGTCTTGTGGTAGAAGTCCGCAACGTTGTACTCATGTTTTGGGAGAGCTTCCCGCACCCTCTGTTTCATGACGTCTGAATTCGCTAACATGGGTCTGTCTGCGCGTATCTGCTGCGCCAGGGCAGCCTGAGCGTGCGGAAGCTTCACAGATGCATCGACCGTGCCTAGTTGCCAAGTGTCGATCTTCGGGGATACTGGCGGCACTGGGGCCTCTCTCACACTCACCATAAATATGGCGGCGAACGGGATCCTCAACGCCTTTCATGGTAGCCCATTCTTGAGCCAGGGTCTTGAGCTCAGACTTGAGCCAATACATCCCGCGGGCGGCCACTCTTTTGCCAAACCGTCGAGCCATCTAAGGCCATTTCAGCGTTTCCCATACCCGTCCACGCTGGAATTGAGGTGGCTCCCAGCAAGCTTCGGACGTTGACTGGACGATCCCACGACGACCCCACGGGGCTCTCGCCTAAGAAAACAACGATTCCCCTGGCGCACTGGGCGATCCCACGACAACCCCGCGGTGCGCTCGCCCAAGAAGACGGCGATTCCCCTGGCGCACTGGGCGATCCCAGGACGACCCCACGGATCGCTCGCCCACGTACACAGCGATCCCCCCCGCATCCCTGGGCACGCGCTCGCCGCACTCGCGTGACCTCCACAACCCAGGACCTCCGGCGTCGCGTCTTTGTTCGCAACGTCGACCCCTGGAAAAATGAACTCCTTTCCCCAGGAGCAATGTTTCGTCCCGGGTCGCCAGTTAGGGCCCCCGGACACCTCCCGCCGTGTTTTTTAATCTCGAGACGGGGTCTGGGTAACGACGCACGCCCCCGCGTGAGAATACCTCATCCCCCCGGCGGCATCGGCATGACTTAATCCCCCCCGCGTCCCCGCTGATGCCACGCGCTCGAAACTCAGCGCTCGCGGGGCGGGGGCTTCCTCAATGATCGGAAAGGGGGCGGGCGGTTCTCGGACGCAGCCCTGATCAGACTTCGGCCCCCTGTCGTGGCGTCGAAGGAAGCAAAGAGGCGGAGAAGTAGAAGGATGATGAGGACGATGCAGTGGAAAGGGGGGAGGAATACGAGGAGGATCTGGAGGATGACGAGGCGGAGAGTAGGGAGGGGGATGAGGAGGTGCAGAGAAAGGACCACTGTGAAGTCGCCAGTTGTTTGTTCGTCCTTCACTCCGCAATGAGCAACAATCAAATGGGGAGGGGGTTCTCAGGAGACCGGGGGTTACTTCTCCAGGGAAGCGCAAGGACCCCCCAGAAACCATACGGAGTTCAAGGCAATTTTTGGAGGGTTCCTAAGGATTTCTTGATGCATTTTAAGGCATCCGAGGGATTCCCTAAGGGTTCGTTCAAGTTTCAGGAATCCTGGAACACCCTTGGAGATCGCGGAAAAACACGTGTGTCAGCAAGGTCCTAGCGCTGCTCGATCCGGGGGACGCGTACACCGATTACGCGGCGTACCTCTGGCGATATTGGGCCATCAACAAGTGATCAGAAGCGGGCGACGGGGAGCCTGGTCTTGATCCTCACACTCTCTCGACTCAGCAACTCAGTCGCTTCCTCAACTCGGTGACCGCGTGGGTCCTCAGTCCGCTGCGCGAGACCGCGCCGAGGAGTCCACCACCCGGAAGCGCCTCCCGTCTCGAGGGCTCCCGCGGCCTCGCGTGCGCCCTCCTCCGCGCCGCCAGCGCCGCCAGGGCCGCGCCTTCCCCGGGGCACCGCCTCGTCCTCCCCTCCGCCTCCTCGCGGCTGCAACCCCGCACGCTGCGAGCGCGCGCGCGCGCTTGCCGCCCTCTGTCGCGCGTGGGACCCTCCCCCCTCGGTCCGTGCTCTCTCGCCGTCCTTCGTCTCTCCTTCGCTCCGGCCACCCGTGCCCGGGGTGGCCTGCTGCGCGGGGTTTCCTGCTTCTGAGGGCCCGGCGCGCGCGGGGCCCTGCGCGGTGGTACTCGACTTTTTTCGCCGCGTCGCTGCGCGCGAGGCCGCGACCGCCAAAAGTGTGTGTGTGTGTGTGTGTGTGTGTGTGTGTGTGTGTGTGTGTGTGTGTGTGTGGATGTGTGTGTGTGTGTGTGTTTGCCCAACCTCCTGTGTTGTTGGGCCCTCGCGTTGAATCCGCCTTGCCCCGCGTCTCCTTCATTTCTCCTTCTTCCTCACTGTCTCAGCCCTCTGTCTGTTCTTATCGTCATCGTCATCATCACCACCCTCATCATCCCCATCATCGGCACACCCCTCACACATTGTTTCGTGGCCTCACAAGGGGGCTTCAAGCTCCACCGAATGCACCAGTGGCCAGGTCCACATGGCGCCCCCTCCCCATTTCGGCACAACCCTCACAGCTTCCATGGCCGATGGGGAGCTCCGCCGAAGGCCCCAATGGCAGGGTCTGCATGGCGCCTCGCGTTTGTGTCGGCACACCGCTCGCACGTTTCGTAGCCCGACAGGGAGCTCCAACGAAGGCCCAAGTGGCAGAGGCTGCATGTCGCCTGGGGCCCATGTCAGCACACCCCTCGCAAGGTTCGCGGCCCCGTAGGGAGCTCCACCGAACACCCCAAAGGCAGGGTCCGCATGGCGCCTCGGGTCCACGTCGGCACACTCCTCGCACGCTTCTTGGCCCCATAGGGAGCTCTACCAAAGGCCCCAGCGGCAGGGTCTGCATGTCGCCTCGGGCCCATTTCGGCGCACCCATCACAAGCGTTTTTGTTAGTTTTTTTGTTGGTGTGTGTATATGTATATGTTGTTTTATGCGTGTGTATATATATATATATACACACTGTGCTTGATTTTGTCTGGGGGAGACACAGACACAGATACAGGTACCGCTACTCCCCAGACCTCTCCTGGGGTACACTCTGACCAGAATTTCGATGCGAATGCAATCAGGGCGCCGTGGCGACAAGGGCCTCCGAGGAGGGGTCACGAAGGTGCGAAAACGATGGGAAGCTAGCGGCATCGGTACATTTCGTCTTCTGATGTCTCTGTCTGTCTGTCTGCCTGCCTGTCTGCCAGTCTGTCTGTCTGCCTATCTGTCTGTCTGTCTGTCTGTCTGTCTGTCTGTCTGTCTGTCTCTCTGTCTGGCTGTCTGTCTGTCTGTCTCTCTGTCTGTCTGTCTGTCTCTGCCTGCCTGCCTGCTTGTGTGTGTGTGTGTTTCCTCAGCCATCCCGTGCTGGTGGGTCCTCGTTTTGAATCGCATCGCCCTGCATCTCCTTCCTTCATCCTGCCTTCCTTCCTTCCTACCTCCTGCGTTCCCTCCCTTCTTTCTCCCTTCTTCCTCCTCCTCCTCTTCTCCTCTCCTCCTCTTGCGTTTCCTCCCTTCTTCCTCCTCCTCTTCTCCTCTTCTCCTCCTCCACCTCCTCCTTTTCCTCCCCGTCCTCCTCCGTCCTCCGCCATCCGTCCTCATCCTCCTCGTCTGCTCCTGCCTCTGCCTCTGCCCCTCCCTCCTCCTCCTCCGCCTGGCCAGCGCGAAGCCCGGGCCGCTCCCGCAGCAGCTTGTAGTGCCCGCTCGAGAAGAAAGCCGGGCACACCCCGCCAACGCCCCCGGCCGCCGGGGCGGCCAGCCGAGCGCCTCTGCCGGGAGACGGGGGGGGGACGAGGGAGGGGCAGATGGGCTCCTCGATCCTCCTCCTCCTCCTCCTCCTTTTCGTCCTCCTCCTCCTCCTCCTCCTCCTCCTTTTCTTCCTCGATCCTCGATCCTCCTCCTCCTCCTCCTCGATCCTCCTCCTCCTCCTCCTCCTCCTACTCCTCCTTTTCTTCCTCCTCCCTTGGGGCTGTGACGAGCGAGAGAAGGGTGACGAAGAGAAATGCGGTGAGGGCATGGGGCAGGGCACAATTTGGGTCAGTGCGGGGGAAGGAGGAGTAAGAGGAGGAAGAGGAGGAGGAGGAGGAGGAGGAGGAGGAGAAGGAGGAGGAGGAGGAGGACCAATGCTAACCCAAGAAGCATCAACGATGTTGGAATACACCCTCCCTCCGAGCTCCCTGCTAGGATTCATTTCCACTGCAGTAATTGCCCCGTTGGGGGGCAACCGTGTGAAAATCCTGAAGCCTGCCAAAACACCAGTCTCACGAATTCAACGCCACGAGTTAACCTGACTGTTACGTCTTGGCGATCCTGCATCGTGCCAGAACGCAGCTCGTGGGACTTCAACACCGCGAATCGACGTAACTATTGCGCCCTGACAGTCCTGAATCGCTCCCACACACAAATTCTGGCACGGTAGCCATCAGAACCAATGGGACTCTTGCAATTACTTAACATGAGTGTGCGCGGCGAAACAAAGATAACCACTTTGAACATAAACCACCATTGATCCGTGAAGCTCATGCACAATATTTAAACGACTGTGCGCGGCGCTAAGGCGAGAACCACATTTTGAAAAATATACGCCCTCAATCTGTAAACTTCTGGCACATTTTTGAATCGAATGTGCGCGGCGCTAGAGCGATAACCACGTTTTGAAAATACCCGCTTCAATCCGTGAAGCTCTTGCAATTTTTGAAGACGAATTTGCGTGTCGCTAAAGCGAGAACCACATTCTGAAGACGACCTCTCCTCATTCCATGACCCCCTTGCAAGCTTTTAAAACGAACGTACGCGACGCTAAAGCGAGAACCATATTTTGAAAACCAATTTCCTTCAATCCGCGAAGCTCTTGCAATTTGTTAAAACGAATGCGTGAGGCACTAACGCGAGAACCACATTTTGAAAAAGACCCGCCCTCAATCCGTGAAGCTCTGGCCATTTTTTTAAACGAATGTGTGTGGCGCTCAGGCGAGAACCACATATTGAATCTGACCTGTCCTCAATCCGTGAAGCTCTTGCAATCTGTTCAAAGGAATGTGCGCGGCGCTCAGGGGACAACGACACTTTGAAAACGACCTGACCTCAATTTGTAAACATGTTGCTGTTGTTTTAGCTTCCAACTCATGCATGGCGAGGAAATCTCAGGCGAAACGCTCGGCCCACCCTTTCGACCGGCCTCGGGGCGCGACAGGGAAGAGTTATCTATAAGGAAAACGAATGCAGGATGATGATGATGAGGAGGAGGAGGAGGAGGAGGAGGAGGAGGAGGAGGGGGAGGAGGGGGAGGAGGAGGAGGAGGAGGAGGAGGAGGAGGAAAGGGAGGAGGAGGAGGAGGAGGAGAGGAGGAGGAGGAGGGAGGAGGAGGAGAAGGTGGGAGGATGAGGAGGGCGAGGAGGAGGAGGATGAGGAGGAGGAGAAGGGGGGAGGAGGAGGAGGAGGAGGAGGAGGAGGAGGAGAGGAGGAGGAGGAGGAGGAGGAGAAGGTGGAGAAGGAGGAGGAGAACGAGGAGGGGAAT